TCTTGTACGAGAGTTATTGCCAACTACTTCTAAAATCTATCCAGGCCATTTTTGCTGCTTTAATATATTCATTTGGCATTCTTATTTCGTTTTTTTCTGTAGCATGTATATATGGAATTTTAATGAGGAATAAAAGGATATTTCGTAAGTACTACCAGTGAGAAGGAAGCGTGTGGTGCAGTGGTAGGAGGTGCCTTGTAACACACATGCGATCCATCTCTGTGCCACCAAGCCTTTGATACCCCGCGGTCAGCAAATTGTTGCTAGATTTGTCTGGGAGGATAGCAGCACTGCTCGATACATCGGTAAGGCTTTCTTCCTTCCTTAACCCTCAAAATAGCTGTGAATTCTTTTTTCTTGTGCAAGTTTGACGACTACTGCATCAAAATACGCCACACTGCAGAACTTCCAGCAAACAAGTGTTTTATGGGATCGTCGACAAACATGCACAAAACTTCTATGCAGAAGAGCTTCTAGCTGTTAAAACATTGCTTGAAAGGCAGCTGCTCAAATGCTTCACTGTATTGAAGTCCATATAAAGGATCTGAGCGTCGGAAATGGCGTGCAGATCTTCGCCCCCCACAGGACCGCAGGTATTCGTTTCACAGTTGTTACCTTGTCTGTTTAAGAAGAAATTCTGACAAACATATAAAAATTTTAGACCTGCACGAAGTGCTAGGAATAAATACACAATTATTTGTAACAAAAATGCGAAGGATATCGTTAGTGCTAGAGATTTCCAGGTATTCCTTGCACTATCTAGAACATTCGAATACTACGGCATAATCGGCAGGAAAAATATAAGCGATGTAAGGTTGCCGCTAGAAAGAGAAACAGAATTAGTTAAGTGTTTAGTAGTTTCAATGGTTTTCATAACCGTGGTATAACTTTTTTGCAAAGATTTATTAATTCAAAAGACCGGCTTTCTATGAACCTTGGCGTAAACAGTTGATATATTTATTTATATGGTCTTATAAACTGATCTTGTTGAAATGACGCTAGGTTGGTATAGGTCTTCGTTGTCATTGTTGTTGTTGTTGTTCTTGTTGTTGCTGTTCGTGTTGTTGGTCGATTACTGACGTGTCGGCGATTTCGTCTTCCTCAGAGCCTGGACGTATTTTGTGTATCAGTAGCCTTATATTCGGTGAAATATTTAAACTATTCATGGAGACTAAACGTTCATGTAAACACAGTATTCATCAAAAAGACTACTCCTGTGCTGTTAGGAGCGGGACTGGCTAACGCGTTGTTCACGTGTAGTCGCGAGTGAGTGATGATATCAACCGAATGCCACACTATCAAACGTGATCTGGCGCCTTATTTCAAAATGATTTTTTGGCCTGGGTGGGTCTCGCTCGCGACTACACGTGAACAATGCGTGGGCTAGTCCCAGTCCTAATATCACGGTGAGTAGCCTTTTTAATGAATATGGCGTTTACTTGAAAGTCTAGTCTTCATGAATAGTTTAAATATTTCACCGAAAATAAGACTACTGTTACATAAAACGCACCAACCTACAACACCAACAGCAACGACAACAACAACGAATCAACCACAACAAAGACCTATACCAACCCCGTATCAGCTCAAAAAGATCAGTTTATAACACCATATAAATAAATATATCAAAGATTTATTAAATTTGAGACAAATTGATGGCTATTTATTCATTTATCAATGTAAATGGTGATATATTATATTAATACTGTTCAAAAAAATGATAACACTAGCATATTTTTAAAATTACTCTTTCCACTTCAAGGTTTGTTGATACCAGAATATTTAGAGATGATAATCATTTTCGTACTCGCAGCCTCTGCCGTACTAACGGAATGTGACCAAGCCGATATTATCACTGAAACGGAGTTAACTGTTCTTCATGATGATCGGAAGACCAAAATCAGTAAATTGTCGAAGCTTGAGGTGACATCTCCATTAAGATCTTCCACCTCTAAAATACTACAATTCTAGACCAAAATTCTTCTCGAAGTTTTCCTGAATCAATACAAGCGCTCTTCAATAACGAGAAATTTTTGAAACAGTTGTTGTCGTCTAAACCGGAGCAAAAAGAAGCCTGCAGTAAACAAAAGTGTCGCACTTATATTCTTTTCTAATTTTTGCTTGCCGTAGTTTCAAAAACATCTCTATTCACTCAGCAAGAAATTTCTGGAAAACCGAGGGATTACAACCCAAATCTGGAAAATTCGATTTCGAAGACACATTCTAAAGAAGGCATAGGGCGAGTTTGGTTCGAGAGTGAAACAGTTCTGACAGGGTAACTTATTACGCCAATGTTGAACTGCGACGATCCCGAAGCGTAATAGCGAGATGTTTCCAGGGGACAAGACAAGGCGGTGGTAAGAGGCCTTCGTGCAAAGAGACAGTTGCTGAAGGATAAGGCTAATCCGAACGCTACATGGCAAAATGGTGTTTTCTATACTTTCAACACATCAGGTTAGTTTCGCAATGAAATGCTCATTTGTACTTACTTATGGGTTACTTGGATGGTCCCTCTTCACTAGTTCTGCGGGCCCAGCATAAATTCCATTTTCTCGAGATTTACCGGCTTAGCCAAGGTAGTGCCTTGCAATACCGAGGATAGTCTGGCTAAAGTCTGCCCCAGGTCGTCATAACCACAGGCAGTCACAGCCCTAGTGAATCGTAGAGAAATTTTCCACTACTCCACTAGTTTGATACTTGGACGGTGATGGATCCCAGTAACGGTTTACTCCTACCTGGGTTTCCTGATGGAAACGTCGGAAACATTCTCAGCACGGGAAGCCTTGCCGGAGAGATGAATCCGGCCGCTGTAGTTGTCAGCCTCATGCCAGAAACATGTCCCAGCTAAGATGAGGCGAAAAACCGTTGGGAGAATTGTTCTATAGCATAGTAAATTAACAAAAACTTCCTCTACATTTCATTAACGTTGTTTCTAAACACTATTGCAACCAAAGGCACTAAACATACTGAACATGATTTCAATACCCATCATGGTCACCAAGATTACTTAGGGTGTTGTTTTTTCTGTTATATGACCGTTTTTCACATTTCGTGCACTCCGAACACCCCACTATTACCCTCGTCCCTAGAAAGATCTTTCTACTTGATGGTTTCCTGGTCTTCATGACTAATGTTGACGTAATAGTAGTAATAACAATAATACAGTAACAATTACTAGTAATAGTATGTGTAGTGTAGGTATAATAGTATAATAATAAAAGTAATCACAGTAATAATATTAACAATAATGATAGTAATAGCATAGTGGAAAGGCAATGGAGAATTTTTAAATCGAAGTGGCAATACAACCATGAAGGAAGCAAAAGGCAATGACGACAGACACTAGGTAACAGTCACTAAAGAACGATCTCTTAAAAGTGGAACAAAATTTAAGAGCACGAAAGCTGACACACTTATAAAACTATGGCTCAAGGTCATCAAGGTTTATTTCATTGTCACTGATTGTTGTGGTAAAATACGCCTTCGTCGGAGCCGCCTAGGTGTCCCATTTTATAGATCATTTATGAATTCCTACTGATTGGTAGGTTGTATGTGATAAATTACGCTTCTAATCTGAAAGTTCCAGACCAAAACGTACAAAAAGCCTTTAAAATGGGTGTGAAGGTATGGGAGGATTCCACATGTATCGACTTTGTAGAGGACAAAAATGGTTGGTTGCGGACAGAGCAAATAGATATACCGCCTCTTCAAATGAAATATTTGCAGCTACGGACAAGGTGATCGTAGTCGAAGAAAATGAGTGCTGGGCAGACCTTGGACGGATGGGCGGCGAGCAGTTTCTCTCTCTTACTTGGAATGCGACGGTACAGTACCATTTAAATAGCGCCTCAAAACACATCTTGTCAGTGTTTTCCGGTTACGCATGCACTTTTTGTCACCAAGTAAGGCAGTCATTTTAGGAAGGGTCCGCTGTGCACGAGATTGGTCATGTTCTTGGATTCTTCCACACAATGTGTCGTTATGATCGAGACAGATACATTAAACTCGTTACGCAAAATATTAACGTATGTGAACATTAGCGGTTAAGTTTTTCATTAAGAACCATTACATCGGTTTAGCTGCGTGTTATCCGTAATTTTCAAAAAATCAGCCCCAACTACAGCGACGTTTATGGACTGGGATACGACTACGGCAGCATCATGCATTACGATGACCGATGGTTTGCAATAGATGTCTGGGATTCTTTTCTCACATTTGTTACCAATGCCGTTCTGTTAAGTGATTCAGTTAACGGACGGCCCACTATAATTGCAACTGATACGAATTATCAAAAGACAATGGGATCTGACTTGATTTCGTTCTCGGATATCTTCGTCACCAACGAGCACTATGGATGCAACAGTATGACTTGAAACAGCTTTCAATATGATTTCTATAAGCCTCGGCATAGACAGTTGATATATTTATTTATATGATCTTATAAACTGATCCTCTTAAGCTGATGCGAGGTTGGCACAGGTCTTCGTTGTCGTTGTCGTTGTTTTTGATGTTATCGATCGATGGCTGACGTTTCGGCGACTTCGCCTTCTTCAAAGCCTAAACGTATTTTATATTCGAATATTTTTATTACTCGGTGAAAGAAGGTTAAGGTATTAACGAAGATTAAACTTTTAAATAGACGCCATATTGAAAAGAAAGGCCACTCACAGTGATGTAATGTGTGGGAAATACGTCTAAGTTCTGAGGAAGACCAAGTCGACGAAACGTCAGCCACCGACCAACAACATCAAGAACAACGACAATGACAACGAAGAGCTGTACCAACCACGCGTCAGCTTAAGAAAATTAGTTTATAAAAACTCATTAACACTTGTAAATTAAATTCTAATTCGCTAGCTATATGTAACAAATCCACCTCCGCCAAATGTGCAAATGAAGGATTTCCTCACCCTCGAAACTGCTCTATTTGTATCTGTCCGACTGGGTACGCTGGTCTCTTGTGTGATCAGCGGGTAAGGACTGGCGCTTCAGATGAACACATGTTCGACAAAAAAAAGTCGTTTCAGCCACCAGGATGTGGAGAAGATCTTATGGCGACAAATAGGAAACAAATGGTGAATGGCAGTGTAGGATTTGGATCCGATCTCAGAGATCATTTCGATTTCTGCAACTACATGATATCGGTAGGATCGTCTAAATCAGTCTTGTTGTTAATTGAAACTTAGTTCTCCATTCAGGCACCTAAAGGAAAAAAGATTGTGGTGGACCTCGAGTGGGTTTCCTATGGTTATGACAGACCAGGTTGTATAAGAGGAGGAGTCGAGATTAAAGCTCAAAAGGATCAGAAGCTAACAGGTTACCGGTAAGAGTCCATACGAATACTGCTGAATCCCAGCAGAAACTCCTATTTTGTTCTTTCAGTTTTTGCTCGCAGTTAGGCAGTGGAGGTCCTATTGTATCGAGTGTCAATCCCCTACCTCTGATCCTATTTAACAGGCAAGGCACGATGCAGACAAGAGTCACTTACCGTTACATTGATTAAGCAAAGGCAATCTCCACGCGTAATATTTTTACACGCCGAATTGTTTTGTTCGCAATAAAGATTTTAATGAAATGTCGTAAGCAGATAAAACTACTTCTCGAGCTATTAACATGGTTTCTATCTATTTAGCTACCATATTAACCTATTGTCTTCTGGAGACAGCCATCTCGTCTTTTCGCTTTTCTTGTCAGAGGAGAAAAAAGCTGGGGATTTAATTGTTGCTCGAACGTGAGGCAATGCAAATCCGATATTAGCTCCATAATCTAGTGTTTGGGGAATTTGGTTAGAGTATATCGCCAGCACTGGCGAGCCTCTGTGTTGTTTCAGGTATTCATAGATTTATTGTTTACGCAGTGATGGTGGGTGATAATTCAATGCAAGGAGTTATTCCGGTCTGCATTAGTGAAGCAATCCACTAAGTAGACAGTTTCGACTAGCTTTACTTAGGACCAGCAAACTTTTTTTGCTACAAAGAAAGCTAGTTGGCGTTGCAATTTGAGCTAGGATGACTCTCAACACCTTCGCAAGCCACAAAATGTGACCAGATAACCATTTTGTGTTAGTACGGTATCAATTTCTCGTTATCAGCAAGGTTCTGCTGAAACCATTTTTCTAACCATCACACGGTCAAGCAAAGATTGCATTGCCTCTGAGTTCACTATTACTTTATGGTCAAAATTTCAGATTAAAATATTCTTATTAGAAACCCCAGCCTTCCGATGTTTATTGTTAACAAAAATGATAATGGGAAAAACAGAAAATGATGTAGGTTTCCAATTACTCAGGATCCAACTTGAGCATGAACACTTAATCGGCTTTTTCCAATGTTCGACTTTGTGGGGAGAAAACCTTACTTATAAAACGATCCTTTTTAATTGTAACGCATAAAATGCATGTTGTACGACCTAAGCAAGTACTCATGGAAATTAAGAAAGCATTGGATACTGTTCCTTATTCTTCTGTTTTACGCAACTGGACTGTTGTTGAAGCACTACAATGGCCTGCTACATGACTTTCTAAGGACTTTTTTGCAAACAGTGTTTTAACTGAACAACAGTTTCTAGTGCCAGCAAACAGCCCAATAAAAGACAGGATCAGCGATTTCTCTGTTGGAACTCGTCGAGGCCAAGTCATACAGGGTTTTCACAATACTGACTCTTCCCTCTTCTTTATTTTTGAATCGATTCTGAAAACAATTGAAAATTCTGAAAAAAAAGCGAAAATTTAACCTATGTAGGAACATAGGCAGTAGGTAAGGTCGAATCAAACCTTTTCTCATACTGAGTGCATAGCTGACACAGTACCAATGACCTTGTTTTGCATTCATAAGTGCTGGAAAATGTTGAACAGTTAACATGGGTCATGAAACTTTTGTTGTGGGTAGCGTTTTACGTAGAATGGTTCTTCGGTGATTGTTCATTGATGATAAATTGCTTTCGTGAAGGTCACCTATTCTGCAATTGTTGGTACATCAAGAACTTTCGCTCTAACACTGATTTAATAAATCTACCCTGAAAGGCAATGTTTTGCACGCCAACCTCGCACAATGCTTAAAGGGGTTCGTCTAAGGAAGTGTTTTATTCTGCATTTGTCAAACCCCTCTTCTATCTGTTCTACTTGAGTTTCATGTTTTGTAGCGGTCATTAACGCCTTACTCTCAGAAGCGAAATGAACTGAAACATAGACCGCAGCGAACCTTCTTTTCAGCATTTTTCGTGCTGCGTTGAGTTTTCTGCTGTTTTCTTTTATTCAGCTGCTTATTCAATAAAGATGTGGCTTTATGTGCGTACCGTCCGAATAAAGCTAGATGGGGCACTTGTTTAAAAAATGCATTATCCTGTCATTACTTAATTGTAATGTAGTTCTTGCCTACTTCAAATGTGCTCCGTTTACAGAGCCTACTTTTATCGAAACCATTCCACTCAGTTGATGATTGAAAGTAATAACGATGTTTCTACTGCGCTTTACCATTGAAGCTCGACACTTCGAAACACCTTATTGGCACGATAATGCGGTTAATTACTCAGAAAGTTTGCAACGATGTGATTTTGGACTAGCTGTACTTAACTTACTTACTTATGGTTTACGAAGTTTTTGGTCATCAATGTGCTTCCTCACACAAACTCAGTAACTCTGCTCACAGGCACATCCACGGTTACTGAAAGGGCTCTATCGGAACACATATAACTCATCCAATTTCGCTTTAAACGTCTATATCAAGCCCGGGTAAGCTCAACAATATATTCATACACAGAATGAATATTTTACCGCATAGGTTAAATAACAGTCGGTTTCAAAATTATTCTAAACTTTGTGAGAATTGGAGGACACTCCGACTACTAATATCATTCCATGACCCATGTTAACTGTTCAACAATTTCCAGCACTTGTGAATGCAAAACAAGGTCATTGGTGCCGTGTCAGCTATGCACTCAGTATGAGAAAAGGTTTGATTCGACCTTACCTACTGCCTATGTTCCTACATAGGTTAAATTTTCGCTTTTTTTTCAGAATTTTCAATTCTTTTCAGAATCGATTCAAAAATAAAGAAGAGGGAAGAGTCAGTATTGTGAAAACCCTGTATGACTTGGCCTCGACGAGTTCCAAAAGAGAAATCGCTGATCCTGTCCTTTATTGGGCTGTTTGCTGGCACTAGAAACTGTTGTTCATTTAAAACACTATCTGCAAAAAGTCCTTAGAAAGTCATGTAGCAAGCCATTATAGTGCTTCAACTACAGCCCAGTTGCGTAAAACAGAAGAATACGATGCAAGTGAAGCTATAAAGCGCTGCTTAAGAAGGGCTGGTCTAGAGAATTCAGTAAACTTTGTTGAAATGCCACCGAGTAATCTTAGGCGCCAGCCATTTCGTAACCGACTATATGACCGCCTATGTGCAACGCTAAATTGCATAATTTGCCCCAATAGCAGAGACGGTGATTGTACGAGCTCGGGTCTAGTTTAACTGATCTCCTGTAAGGCGTGCGGAGACGAATACATTGGCGAAACGGGAAGACTCCTCCGTGTCCGCATTAAAGAACACCTAGCCGGAAAACGTAAACCAAATACCCCACTAGGCACGCATAAGACCCAGAGACATGACGGCGAGGACTTTGAAATACGTGTCACAATCCTCGCACAGGGATCGAGAACACAAGTGCGCAAAACTCTCGAGACGTTCTGGATTGATTCCAGAAATCCGAAAATGAGCCGCAGGGAACAATGCCTCATTATCACGCCCGCTATTGGGCAATATATAAGCCTATTATTTTGATGAGATGGGCACAATCCGATTCCGTGTGTACGCTGTGCGGTTGGTCCCCAAATGACATATTTAGTAGAAGACTCATAGAAAGCGGTGACTGTGCAAAGCTGTGTTCAATGTGATTGAAATCTTGGTTTAGCGTTTTCTTTGTTTAGTTGTGGAGGTGTTTGGCCGAATAGATTGCTGTAAACTCAACCTTTCCAAGTTTTGAGGAAGGCGAAATTCGCCGAAACGTCAGCTTATTCGTGAATAAGGAATAAAAATAACACCTCGCGTTTGCTCAACAAGAATACGAAGAATTATTTGATCAATGCCGAGGTTAATAGAAAGTCGGTCGTGGGAGTTACCTGTTGTTTTATTATCTCATCAACCCATCGAGTTCCAATCGAACACAGTTTTCCACTAAAATCTATAATTTTATTAGTGGAAAAAAGGAAACTTGGATTAATATTCTAGTTCTTTCATTACAACAGCGAATCCTGCAATAATCCGCCCGTCCTATTCGAGTATGATGATGGATGAGGTGTGTTTCAAGTCGGTATTTGGCAGATCAAGGCGCACTGGCTTCCGATTCTGTATATCTCTAAAAAATTCATAGCCTTCTCTTAAAAATGTCATTTAGCGAAAGCAACTCCTCTGCAAAACGAAGGCCAAAGCCTCCGGTTTTCGATAATGGGCTCGTTCTAGGCGCGGGTTGCACGCTGTCCAACCAATATCCTTGTGTCGTCAACAAAAAACACTGATTCTAGTATTCTTTCTTTGATGAGCTTACACGAGGTTGATAATGATGTTTATTTTCGGCTAAAAGCCATCAAAGAAAGAATACATATTGATTAGTGATACCGAGGTTCAAGGAAAGTCAGTTTCGAAACATTACTGGTTCTAGTTTCTTTTTTGAAGAGATTTTGCACTCTTCGATATGTTGGATTGAAGGCATTGTGCGAGCCATGAGCACTCTCTACATTCCAGTAAAAACCAGTTTTTTTAGTCAGTGCTGAAAATGAAGATGCGCTTTCCACCAAGCGACATAGAAATTCTTCGTGGAGTTTCTATTTAGAAAGCCTTGGTCGTTAACATTTTACATTGTCATTATTTGATATAAATCTTGTTTACTTAGGAATTTAAACATGTCAAGACTCACTTGTGCAAACCAGGCCAAACATGGGATAGAATAATCACTAAATCTTCTCAACGAGGAAAACAACGACCGAGGTTAATTTGATGAAAACTCGATTTTTTTATATGGGGTTTTTATTTAATGCCAGGAACGTTTCATCCTTTATTTCCACACCTTGTCTTGAACAGGTCATCCCTGCAGGACACACTGCCCATCTGATCGGCGTGCAATAGCTCATTGAATTCGTTAAGGAGGAAAAATCAATCATCATACACCAAAGAGATGTCAGTCGTCCAACGTCGTGACCACAGTATTTAAAATCTTCCTCTTACGGGAAATTAATTCCAAGAAAAATTTTATCGTCACGCTAGTTCCCCGCTCACCAACTAGAAACTAAAACTTCGAGCCCATAATTACAACTGCCAACCTATCCCATAAGACCATTATTTCAAATTCTGTAAAATCGACTTATGTACTTGCATAGAAACGCGGTGACCCAGCTGTAGCTCCTGAATAATCCAAAATTACGACCACTGAGTATCTAAAATAGCTAGTAATATACGATCGCCATTCACAAATAAAGGAAGTTTTCACTTCTACTGGAGGTATCCTCTCACTACAGATTTTTACGGAGCAATAATTTACTGCCTTCTTGACGAGCGGACACATGGCTGTTGTTATACAATTTGTTCACAATGGCTGGCGTTTCGGTGCATACCGAGTTTTTTGGGGCCTGGAAAAGTCGGGTTGACTGCAATATAGTCAGCGAAATGCTTTCAAAACCTGACACCTAAACTACAATTGCCTCAGAAACGATTTTCACGGGTCTCGCACTTATTGATGGAAGAGAACTGCACAGAATTCACCTGGATGGGTAATGTGCCTCTCTCATGATAAACCATCAGTCTGAGATATTGTGTGAGTCGACACATGAACAAGCCACTCCTCCTTGCAGCTTTTTTTGGATATTTGGAACTTGTCTAAAATATCTCAAGGTTTGTACATTTGGATATTTTCAATTTTTTTTGCATGAATGAAGACTTGTACTTCTAATCTCTTTCTTCCATCCTTAACCCTCAAAAAAGCTGTAAACTCTTTCCGCTTGTGCAAGTTTGACAACTACTGCATCAAAACAGGCCACATTGCAGGAATTTCCAGCAAAACAAGTATTTTATGGGATCGTCGACAAACATGCAGAAAGCTTCCATGCAGAAAGGCTGTTAAAACATCACTTGAAAGGCAGCTGCTCAAATGCTTCACTGTATTGAAATCCATATAAAAGACACTGAGTGCAAAAAATAGCATGCACATCCTCGCCTCCCACAGCACAGCAGGTATTCGTTTCATAGTTGTTACCTTGTTCGTTTAAGAAGAAATTCGGCCAAAGGTTTAAAAATTTTAGACCTGCACGAAGTGCCAGGAATAAATACACAAATATTTGTGGCCAGAAAACAACGAAATATATTTAACAGTGGCGTTGGAGATTTTCAGAAATTCCTTGGATTTTCTAGAACACTCGAATATTACGACATAATCGGCAAAAAAAAATAAAAGCGACGGAGGACACCTCAAGAAAACGAAAAACAATTTATTAAGGAAGTGTTTAGCAGCTCCAACTGTAGTCACAGTCATACCAGTAGAACGCCTTTGTGGGTATCTGTGAAATGTTTTTTAAAAGTTTTGGCTGTTATATATTCATTCGTTTGTCAGATGCCAAGTGTGATTTATCGTAGAAGCTATGGTGTTAAGAATCTGTCAGCACCTGGCAAATTTTTCGCGTAATTCTTTCCAGTACAGCATTTATTGAAATCAGCATATTTAGAGATGGCCATTATTCTGCTACTCGTTGCTTTTACCATAGTAACGGAGTGTGACCAAACCAGTGCCATCACTGAAGCGAAGACGTTAAATGTTCGTCAGGATGCTGAGAAGACCAAGAAAAGGGAATTGTGGAAGCTTGAGGTGATAAATGAATTAGAATCTTGTACCTTCAAAATACTACGCTCCAAGACCGAAAGTATCTTTGACGTTTTCCTAAATCATTAAAATTATTCTACAATAGTGGGAATATTTTCCAAACAGTTGTTGCCGTCTAAAGAAAGAGGAGCAAAAAGAAGCCTGCAGTAAACAAAAGTGTCGCACTCATATTCTTTTCCAATTTTTGCTTGCCGTAGTTTCAAAAACATCTCTATTCACTCAGCAAGAAATTTCTGGAAAACCGAGGGATTACAACCCAAATCTGGAAAATTCGATTTCGAAGACACATTCTAAAGAAGGCAAAGGGCGAGTTTGGTTCGAGAGTGAAACAGTTCTGACAGGGTAACTTATTACACCAATGTTGAACTGCGACGATCCCAAAGCCTAATGGTGAGGTGTTCTCAGAGGACAAGACGAGGCGGTGGTAAGAGGCCTCCGTGCAAAGAGACAGGTGTTGAAGGATAAAGCTAATCCAAACAGTACATGGGAAAACGGTGTCTTCTACACGTTTAACACATCAGGTTAGTCTCACAAGGATTTGTTCACCTACAGCATAATAAACTAACAAGTATATAATATCTCTATAATATACCCCTATATATTCCTTCAACGTAGTTCTTAAACAGCATTACGACTAAAGACTTTCAATAGGATAAGCAAATAAATTTACATGGGGCATTAGATTGCTGTCACGCTGTTCTCTTGCCTTAAATGACCGGTAGCAATTCATGAAGTCCGAGAACGCCACTATTATCCTGATTTCGTCACATCCGTCACCAGAATAATTTTTCTGGTTCGCGGCAAGGTTTCCCGAAGGTTTTCCCCTATTCCCCCCGAAGGTATTCATGATCAATAGTGAATTACTAACAATAGTAATAAGAACAATATACTAATATGTACAAATAAGAAGGCCACGTGTGGCCCAGTGGTTGGAAACACCAGTGCGACAAACACGTGGAATCGACTCCCGCGCCTACGGCCCACCAAGCCCTCCATGCCTCCGGGGTCTGCAAATTGGTGCCAGACTTGTCTGGGAGCTTAGCAGCACTGGCTCGATACACATCGGTAGACGACTGAAAGTCATTTTAAAGGCCAGATATGCATTTAATCACCTCCAACGATATTTAATGAAGTCGAATGCACAGCGCATCCCTCAAAGATTGATCAACAGCGAGAGCTTCATCCTTTATCCTTTCCATGTATAATTAGTAGTAAACCTAGGGTAATCACAACAGCACAATAATAATAATGATAATAATAGCAATAATCGTGCAGTAATGGTGATCTTTTGAAACCAAATAGTAATATAACTATGATGGAAGCGAAAGACATTTATGAGGGACATTGACTAGGGAGTTACTAAAAAACGACCTCTTAAATGTGGAAAAAATATGAGAGCAAGAAGCCGAAAAACTCATAAAACTATGACCGAAAGTCATTCATTAAAGTTTATTTCATTATCACCGTCTGTTTTGGTGCAGTACGTCTTCGTCGGAGCCACCCGGGTGACCCACTTTATACATCCTCTATGAATTCCTACTGATGGGTCGGCCGAATGTAATAACTTATGCTTCTAATCTAACTATTAAAGTTTTAGATCAAAACGTTCGAAAAGTTTTTAAAATGGGTGTGAAGGTATGGGAGGACTCCACTTGCATCGACTTCGTAGAAGACAAAAATGGTTGGTTGTGAACAGAGCAAATAGATATACCGCTTCTTCGAACGAAATATTTGCAGCTACGGACAAGGTGATCGTTGTCGAAGAAAATCAGTGCTGGGCAGACCTTGGACGGATGGGCGGCGAGCAGTTTCTCTCCCTTACTTGGAATGCGACGGTACAGCACTATTTAAATAGCACCTCAGAACATATCTTGTCAGCGTTTCTCACCTACGCATGCACTTTTTGTCAGCGAATAAACCAGATATCTTAGGTAGGGTCGGCTGTGCATGAAATTGGTCATGTTCTTGGATTCTTCCACACAATGTGTCGTTATGATCGAGACAGATACATTAAACTCGTTACGCAAAATATTAACGTATGTGAACATTAGCGGTTAAGCTTTTCATTAAGAACCATTACATCGGTTTAGCTGCGTGTTATCCGTAATTTTCAAAAAATCAGCCCCAACTACAGCGACGTTTATGGACTGGGATACGACTACGGCAGCATCATGCATTACGATGACCGATGGTTTGCAATAGATGTCTGGGATTTTTTTCTCACATTTGTTACCAATGTCGTTCTGTTAAGTGATTCAGTTAACGGAGGGCCCACTATAATTGCAACAGATACGAATTATCAAAAGACAATGGGATCTGACTTGATTTCGTTCTCGGATATCTTCGTCATCAACGAGCACTATGGATGCAACGGTATGACTTGAAACAGCGTTCAATAGGACCCATTAACACTTGTAAAATAATTTCTAATTCGCTAGCTATATGTAACAAATCCACTTCCGCCAAATGTGCAAATGAAGGATTTCCTCACCCTAGAAACTGCTCTATTTGTATCTGTCCAAGTGGATACGGTGGGCCCTTGTGTGATAAACGGGTGAGGACTAACGCTGCAGATGAACATATGGTCGACAAAAAAGAATCATTTCAGCCACCAGGATGTGGAGAAGATCTTATGGCGACAAATAAGAAAAAAATGGTGAATGGCAGTGTAGGATTTGGATCCGATCTCAGAGATCATTTCGATTTCTGCAACTACATGATATCGGTAGGATCGTCTAAATCAGTCTTGTTGTTAATTGAAACTTAGTTCTCCATTCAGGCACCTAAAGGAAAAAAGATTGTGGTGGACCTCGAGTGGGTTTCCTATGGTTACGACAGACCAGGTTGTATAAGAGGAGGAGTCGAGATTAAAGCTCAAAAGGATCAGAAGCTAACAGGTTACCGGTAAGAGTCCATACGAATACTGCTGAATCCCAGCAGAAACTCCTATTTTGTTCTTTCAGTTTTTGCTCGCAGTTAGGCAGTGGAGGTCCTATTGTATCGAGTGTCAATCCCCTACCTCTGATCCTATTTAACAGGCAAGGCACGATGCAGACAAGAGTCACTTACCGTTACATTGATTAAGCAAAGGCAATCTCCACGCGTAATATTTTTACACGCCGAATTGTTTTGTTCGCAATAAAGATTTCGCTGAAATTCCATGAGCAGATGAAACTACTTCTCGAACAATTAACATAGTTCCTATTTATTTATTTACCATATTAACTTATTATCTTCTGCAGTGAGTCACCTCGTCGTTTAACTTTTTTGTTAGAAGAAAAAAAAACGCTGGGAATTTCACTGCAGGCCATGTGAAACCTCTTAGCTCAAGCGGAATGAAACCCTTTTCCGATAAAACCTCCATGAAACTACTGTGTGAGCAATTTGGCTAGGATTTAACGTAAGTGGAGTTTCTCACTATTGTTCCATGTATTCAGAGATTTATTGCTTACTCAATTTGCTTGTGACTAAGTGATAATTCGATGAAAGGAGTATTCTCGGTTTACACTAGTTAAATAATCGACAGAGGAGGCAGTTTTAGATAATTTCATTTGCAACCAGCATCCCCTTTTGTTGTAAAATAAAAAAAGTTATCGTAACAGTTCGACCTGGAATGCCACTCGATAGTTCCGCAAGCAACAAAATATGGCGAGATGACGTTTCACTTTTACTATGGCATCAATTTCTCGGTATGGGCTAGGTTGAGCGCAAACTACTTTCTTGACTTTCGCATGGTCAAGTCAAAATTACATCTTCAAAGTCACTGTTACTTGGTGGCTACCATTTTGGATTAGAATAACCCTATCAGAAACTCGGACATCAAAAGGCTACTCCTAACAAAAATAAGGGGTGAGAGAAAATTGCCGAAAATGAGATTGGATTATTTAGTACAAAACTGAAGCGTGAAGTTTTTACCAAGCTGTTCAACCATTCGGTGGTTGTTGGGCAAAGTGGCTACTCTTTTCTTAAAAAATGTAACGTTGTAAGAAGGAAATAGAATGTTGTACGACCTAGTTAAGCACCCATGGAAATTAGGTGCATCTTCATAATTGAACTAATAATAGCACAATTTTCTTCAGTTTTTGGTCTATGAGAGTGAGCCATTAATGAAGTAGTAAAATGGCTTATTTTATGATTTTTTTATATGGCGAAAATTCAAGGGTAATCTTTCGACTATCACTATCCCATTCCCGTGGTGAGGGCCCTTATGGCCTTCCAGCACGTCTTTTGTATTAATCAACAGAGGTGATCTCAGTTGTTGACCACTATTGCACGTGCACCTCCCTCATATGAGGGGTCTCGAACCTGTTAGTCGCGAGGCTACATGGCGCGCCCCAGGTAGTGGATAGGGGGTAAATCGCAGACCAAAAGCAACCATTGCTTCCCTGAGACGCAGGTGGATCCAGACGATGGACTCCCTGTTTCTGATGCCCCGCCTTAGCACACACTTTCTGTATTTACGAGGCGTTTTCATGCACACGTGTGCGGGAGCGTTCTAGTTTACGCGGATTGTATTCTACGAGTCAATTCGAATAAAAGCCTGTCACTAAGTGATAGAGAAGTATATAAGAGGCGGTTAGGAGTCGCACACAACAAATAAGTACCATGTCCATTCTGGGAGAACCTGGCAAGCTACTCGTGAGTATACCCAGCCCCCACGTTCAGAGCCCAGCAACCTATACGTGGGTATCAAAAAGCTAAAAACAGTAAAAGAAACGCACCTCATTCTCCTGGCCCCAAAAGAGCCTCAATTTCGCAGTGTTGGGTGGGACGAGTACGGAGAGGCTGCTAAAATCTCAGGACCAATGGAAGCTTCTTTGTTTACAACGAAGTAGGGTGACGGTCTGTACCTACAATACACTTGTATCCGACTCCTCGATAGAAGACTTGCTCATGCAAGCAAGAAGGTTAAGGTATGACGTCATCGGTCTGGCCGAGACGAGATGCCGCCACCCATTCAACGCCGTCTATGACACCGGAAATGAACTGTTCCATGGAACACGCGATAGTAGAGAAGTCCGCGACGTCGGCGTTCTCGTCGACACGAGCCTGTCCATGAACATCGAATCATTTCAACAGCTTACAACCAGAATCGGACGTTTACCATTTTAAAAAATGTGGATCAATACCGGCTTTGACAATCTTCGTCGTTTACACGCCGACATTAGACTGTGACGGAGAAGAAGTCGAAGCGTTCTATATGGACCTGGAGAAGTTCTACAGACAAGACTATACTTTCTTCGAGGTTATCGCTGAAGATTTCAACGCTAAGATTGGACTAAGAAAAACGTTTGAAGGACGTCACATTGGGACCCACGGATTAGAATGGAACGAATTGGGTGGTCGGCTGCCTCAAAGCAGGAAACCTACGCGCACAGTATCACAGCAGCCTATTAAGCCTCGACTTCGATGGGTTATTAACAGAAAAGTACACGCCACCACTTGTCGATGCCATCAAAACACTGCTCAAGGTAAAAGAACAAATACGCTAATTTCAGTATAATGCACGTCACTTGGAAAAAGCTCGTCATTTTCCACAATGCAACGCGACAACACGCTTACTGAAATAGAGCGTGATATCCTAGTGGCACAGGGTAACAGAGGAGGGCGAACACATGATGGTGGGGTACGTTCGCCCCAACTTGCAAATATTTTGCGTGTTTAAAACAGAACAGAACAGAGCTGTTCTAAACTTCCTCATTGGAAGTCACATAAAAAGCGGGTCTGAAGAAGGCGATACTGCCGAAACGTCAGCTAGTGTTGTATTGTATTGCGTTTTTCTATGGAAGTAAATGTACGCTGTTTAAAAACCTCGCGATTGCTGAACAAGAAAACGGCACATTCATGTTCCAATGCCGAGGTTAAGAGAAAGTCGATCCTGGGAAGTGTTACAAGACGTACCAGCAAAATACTTTCGACTTGTGAAGGAAGCATTGTCACTAAGACAAAAGATTGTCTTAGCTAGACAGCAAATCAACTTTTTCCCCCGCTGTTTTCAATATCGAGTCGTGCCGAAGTTTATAAAACGAAAGCGACTTCACGAGATATGCAGTCAACCAGAGCACAGCCAACAAGTACGAGGCATCGAAATGGAACTACTTCGAGCTGCACTACGAAGCAAGCAGAACGAGATGTTTGCCGGAATGAAGCAGTGTGCAACGAAGGAACATTTTTGTGCTTTGTATTTGGAGGATCGCCTTTGGACGAGAATAGTTGGTGGGTCAATATTGATATGCGATTTTACTAGGTCCAATGCCAAAATAACCTTACAACGAAAATTCGAAAATCTTTTGACTAATTCACACGTCTCAGCTTCAAGAAACAACCGCAAACGAATTTCCTACTTTTCTGATAATTGTCAAAATGGGGTTGAAAATGCACCAAGAAAATCTAGGGTCACCGTGATTGGGGGCATAACAATACCTGAGAGTGGGCTTTCGCTACTAGAATTGGGTCCAAGTTTTGCACCATCACAGCGCATTTTTAAAACGACCCTGCGTGGCATGCAACCTTTATGAGCTTCAAGATCGACTCCGCTATCAGGCCGAACAGGAAACATCAAATAGAGATAAAAATCAAGAGGCGGCGGCACTACCACCATCTCCTTTCCCTAAAACGTTTTTTAGACAGCAGGACCCCAACGATGGAGTTGACATAAAGAGCTGTTCTAAACCTCCTCATTGGAAGTCACGTAAAAAGCGGGTCTGAAGAAGGCGATATTGCCGAAACGTCAGCTAGTGTTGTATTGCATTGTGTTTTTCTATGGAAGTAAATGTATGCTGTTTAAAAACCTCGCGATTGCCGAACAAGTAAACGAAGCATTCATATTCCAATGCCGAGGTTAATAGAAAGTTGATCCTGGGAACTACTACTTGTTCACATATATCACTGCTTAGAAATTTCTTCAACTAATCCTGTCGAGAACATCCTCTAGAAACCGAGTTCGTACGATTGCCCAGATTCCTCATTAGAACTGGATTGTTAGAATCCAAACGTGTAATCAATGCAATACGGGTGGCGGTAAAATAATAAATACCGCTACCACCCGACTAGTTATTTTTTGTCATTTACAAGGTTTCCATTTTTGACTGACAAATTCCAAACCAGCCATCGCGTAAATCATGGTTGGTAGACACAAATATTCACATGAAATCGCAGCCGTCTGGAGATTCCTGTGCTGATTGCATGTGCAAAAAGACCTCCTAGAATCCGAGGCCATTCAGCTGCCTAGATTCATTAGTCGACACTCAGAAGTCATCGGCAGCTGTGGAAACCGAAATCCTCACTGGTCTTATCGTCATTTCCTTGCAGGATTATTATTTGTGTTGTCGAATGTTACTGTAACTCTTCGAAATTGTGTCACACCGATCTCGGTTCATCATAACTATGCATCTCCTATCTAAATACTACATCATCCGCATGTAACCATGTCTCATCGTAGTGGGACATCAATCACTAGATATTACTCTCTCTTATGCTTTGTAAAATCTTAATAATTTCTCCTACATGCCGCTAAGTCACCTCATCATTCACTTAGTTCGATTGCCATCTATACTAAATGTCACAACTAACGCTTGTATATCCTTGCATAATTTCTCACGTAGAGCTACTGCACTTCTTCGAATTAATACAGTTTCGGTCTGAGTTTTCATGCTCTTCAAATGAACGTTTGTATTCGCTCATAAATTCGTCGCAGCACAGCCTTACAACGACTGTATTCGATTACTCTCTCTTAAGCTTTGTGAGGTGTTAGTAACTTAACCTGGCCGGTCGCTCCACGACCATGTAATCTTCTCACAACATTCGTTTTTTTGAATTTTATGTTAAATATTCTTTATAGAACCGTTGTATATTAACCGTAATGCATCACTGTAGCGTATTTAGCTTATATGTTTTTGCAAAGGTTTATTATCCAATTTATTATCAATACCAGGATTCACCACCGTCATGGAGGTCACATGGGAGCAAATCTTCCTCTGATCCACATGGGCTGCAATTACCTGTAGTGGTGAGGACCTGGGGCAGACTTTGGCCAGGTTGACCTTGAGACTCCAGGAAACCATAATGGCTTAACCAGCAAATCT